GTGTGTGTGTGTGTGTGTGTGTGTGTGTGTGTGTGTGTGTGTGTGTGAATGAATGAAAATCACTGACGGATCGGAAGAACAGAGTAGAATAGATGACTGAATAAACAAACGAGCTAGCGGATACACTGGCCGGACGGACCGTATCGTAACTAGGGGGTAAATAGCCACGCGTTTTCCCTCAAATGCGTGGGTGGACGCTGGTGCATGCGTATGGTACACCGTATGTACGTGTGTATCTATACGTATGTGTAGGTATAATATGCGTGCAGTCCCCGTGTGCCTGCGTGTGTCTATATGCACGTGTGCAGGTAGGAAGGTGCAAGAGATCCTCTAACCGCGACGATGGTTTAGGGTGTACTGAACGTTACCCGGAGAGGGTTGCGAAACGGCGTAACGTCTAATCCAACATTACCTAACTGTATAGCAACGGCGCCATGGAAACGGCACGTTTGCGCCTGCGTTGGCCTGCGTCGCCGCCGTCGACATAGATCGACTTAAACTTTTTTGGCAATTCCGCCAGTTACTTCGAGAACTCGCAATAAAAGCCGCTATTAATTCTCTATAAGTGTCGCGTTCGAGAAAGAGAGGGGATAACTTCGCAATTTGTCGCTCTCGAGGGTACGTGGTAGTGGTGGTTGGTGCGCGTTGACCCGAGAGGAATCGCGCGCGGAGATGGAAGTATTGAGGGAACTAATGTCGCCGCTAGAAGATCTTTAATTAATTTGATCGTTATCTGTTTAATTAAACATAATAAATGTTTTAGACCCTCGTACTGGCGCGCACTTTTCTCTAATAGATGAAGTAGACAGGTCGGAAATAAGAGTTAAACTGTACAGTATCCTTGTTGTTTTTTTTTTTCTAGTAGTACACTATTTTATTTATCCTTGTTACAGGAATATCAAATTTTGACAACAATCTCGACTGAAGCGACATCTAGCGACATCTCTCATCGATGTGCATTCGTGGGTGAAAGATATATATTTCTCGCTTTATAAAACCGATAAAAAAAATTATAGAATAATGCTTATAATATTTAATACAAACAAATTTATTTTTCTATAATATTCGATAAACAGCTTAAAATTTAAACATATTTTTCCAATTTATGATATTATAATCTACTACTTAAACTACTTTGAATAAAAAAAGTAATATGAACAGTAAACAATTGATGAAAAGATCATGTTGTATCATAAGAAATCATATTATCAATATAGTATAATAAAAAAAACTATATTGAAACCATTGCAATTATATGGATCGCTGATAAATTGACAATGTGTTGCTATTTTATCCTATGAGCCAGTTTGTATTGTAAACCATCGACGAGATAGTATTGATTTTCAGGATTTAATATAATTTTCTTCATCATTTAGGATTGTATGTGTATGAATAACTGTATTAAATGGTGCAATTATTTATTGAAATACAGTTAATAATTTCGATTTCGTTCAAAAAAAATGTAAATGTAATAAATATATAAGGATAAGTATGAGATTGTCAAAAGAAGATACTTTTGAAAAAGATAATTACTTTATTAAGTGAAAAGTATAAAAAAAGAATTTGTATTTTTAGACATTACTTGAATAACAGTCCTACACGGATCAATATTATATGTTCTAAAGGTTAGAGACCTTCAGCTAAAATTACGAGAAGAACGCTGATATTACCGACCATATCTTTACTTATTCGATATAAATATATGAATTTAGTTTATATAATTAATTTTATAATTAACAGTTTTGTTGTTTTATAAAAATGTATTTTTGACATTATTCATTTCTATATAAAAATGCGTTTTGTAGTTATTTGAATACTAAATTATATTTTAAAAAATTTGTTAGTAATCTGCCGATGACAGTTTCATACTTGTTTCTAATATAGATGGCACACGAAGTATTATAAGGAAAAGTATTACAATTTTTTCTATTTAAATTTTTAACAAGTTAGTAAAAACAATAAAAATATGCGAAATATAAAAAAATAAATATTAGCAAGATGCTAATTGCTTGATGTCATTATTTCCATTGATTTTTTAAATTTTCTTAAATATTAGAATTTGATATTTAAAAATGACTGAATAATTTTTTAACACAAATTCTTTTTAAGTCATATTTATACTTTTATCCTAAATTTGGATATTCTAAAATAGAAATAGTAGACATAAAATTATGGAATTTTAATATTATAATTTTCTGTAATAATAAAAAAAGTATAACAGAATGATATAAATGAAGCATGATTGTAAAAATACAATCATGCAATAAAATACATATACTACATATAATAGGATAAATTCTTATGTATATATAATATTTGAACATTACTTTTTCTTTGCTACTTCTTCACGTAGTATTTTGGCTATTATAGATATTCCCTGAAAAATAATAAAAAAATATCAATATTTTAAATTTAAAACGTTCATATATGTATATAACTGATATTTTTACATTATTAACATAAGAAAAAAAAATTCAATTGTAAAAATATTTATGTATGTTTTTACCTTTACGCATGATATTTTTTTGTAATTTCTAAGATTTATATAAAGATATATTTGTTTTTGATGATTTTCTAATTGTGACTAAAATTAATAAATGTGTACGGCATTTTTTGCAATACATACATAAATATATGAAGTTGTTACATTTGACAGAGACACAGTTAAAATTAATAATATTTAAAATTACTCTGTCCATTTCTTCTAGTGAAGCATAGCTGTAGCTAAGTCTCAAATGACAATCGGGTTTTGAAGAGTCGTAGTTGAAGGCATTGCCAGGAAGAACGAAGACACCTTGTGGTACGCATTTGTTCATCACTAAATCCATTATATTATTCACATCTGTTACTTTAATCCAGAAAAACATTCCACCTTGTGGTATGTACCATTCTGCCAGACCTAGTAGAAAAAATTTGATGTGAGAATTTCAAAGCTACTTTTGAAATTTAGATTAACACACATTAAAATAAGTATATTCGAAAATTTTTTATTAGATTTCTTGATCAATTTTCAACTGACCTTTTTTAACAAAAATATCAGGATTCTTTGTATAAATTAAAATTTTTTTATTAAATCAAGCATTAGAAAAAAAAAATACAATTATAATTTTTTAGTTTTAATTTTTCAGTCTTTTTTTCTTTTCTAATAAAATTTTAATTTATAGAGTAGTTATTAAAATATCTATTTGGAAACTTGTAATGAGTAATAATAATTTAAGAAACAAAACCATATTTGAATCCATATTTGAATCAGCTACAAAATGGTAAAGATTAAATGATATTAGATAATGTTGAGGAAGTAATTTTTGCCCGATGAAGAAATTTCTTGACATTTCACTGTTGTTTTAATGTTTTCAGAAATCTCAACATAAAAAAGTCTTTTAAAATTAATGTTAACATACCATTTAAATGTTTCTCAATCATTGTCAGCATCATGTCACGTCGATCCTGATAGAACTTTTGAATTTCTTTAAAATGTTTCTCAAATTCTTGCTGTTCCCAACTCTCAAAGAGTTTATAAAGAAACACCTGTAAGAGAAATTATTGTAAATAAATTTTAATGTATATTTTATATAATAATATTATATTTGCATATATTTATAGACATTTAATTATTATTATCATTAAGAATTTATTACTAAAATTGTTGATAATGGAAAATAATCGCGATTAAAAAAATTCCGTGAAACATAAGAACCTGATAAATAAAATATTTACCTAAATAAAAAATAATTTACTCTACAATCTGTATATTTTATATGAAGATGGTTTCTTTTGTTCACAAATCGATTGCCTATAGCATCGTTTATCTAGAGGAAAGTCGCCGATACTGACATGAATCTTTTAAAATGAGACCCTCTTATCTCTCAGAAACTAATTATTATACTTTATTAATACTAATAATAATAATATGATTTGTTTAATTAATTAAAAAAGTGTAAACGCATAATTTGTATATTTGTGGCTTGTTTCTATCGAAATCAGTTAACAACGAATTCTATATAAATGTAAAAATGAAATTTGTACAATTTTTTTGCAAATTGCGTAATTTAAATAATAGCGACTATATTATTACCCTATAATATTAAATGTACATTTAATATTCTAAGAATATGTTTAAAATATTAAATAATATTGTGTGCTTATAGGGTAATAATATTACGTGGTTTTAAATGCTTGTAGTTTCCTAAATCAATTTTATTTATTTTCTCTCTTAAGTTTTTCGTAATACGGTTTTAAATATAAAATCGGGGTGCAGCGTAAACACCTGTTTGTAAAACAAATCTATTTTAATATTTATCTATTTTAATATTTATATATAGATAATTAAGCTGTAGGAAATAATACATGTAGGCAAATGTGACTTCGTTTCTGAAATTTTTACTTGTGCGCAAAAAAAAGTGCATATAAGCAATGGAGCTGTAGGCAATAATTTTTGCAAACGAAACTGTCGGCAAAAGTGATGCAGGCAAACAATGCTGCAGGACCGTAGGCAATCGATTACTAGGCAAACGAGTCCCTCCTTTTTGTATGTATATATACATATTAATATATGCGTGCGTGCGTGTGTGTAAAAGAAATTATTATGATAGTATTAATCACGATAAAGCAACAAGTCAAATTAAAATACATTCAAAGAATATTAAAAGAAAAAAAAGAATTTTACCTGAGATAAACATGATGCATGAAGAATAGAGGATGAAATGTGAATAATCAATTTATTTATGATATCTTTGTGCGCTGTAATAGCGCCGATACGATATCCAGCGCTTATAATCTTACTAAACGAATCCATTCTAATCACTCGACCATCGGTATCGAGGGAGAAAAACGACGTGGGTTGTTTATCTAAAAAATGAACGAAGCAGTAAGGATCGTCCTCGACGATCAAGAAGTTGTATTTATGCGCCAATTCGTACACTTTTCTTCGTCGAATCTCCGACATGACGGCACCTGTAGGATTTGCTCCCGTCGGATTGATGTAAAGTAACTGCACAAAAATCATGCGCGTATGCATATCATTTTAATGAAAGAAGATAGTTTTATATTAAAGCAATATGACAGTCGTTGTATATAAAATAAATATTGTATAAA